TCATTATGAGATGCTTCGCCATCTCCCTCCGAGCACGTCTCAGTATTTACTGAGTCTGTATATCGGATCTGGGAGTCGTCGTCGTCAGTCCCTGAGGACTGGCTCGATGCCGTTGTCCTCCCTGTTCGCAAACCGGGGTCTCTGGGTACTTCCCATAAGGACTTTCGCCCTATTGCTCTCACAAGTTGTGTCTGCAAACTCTTTGAACGTATGGTTAACGTTCGTCTCATGTGGTTCCTGGAACACCATCACCTCCTTTCCCCTTCTCAATTTGGTTTCCGCAAGTGCCTCAGCACGACAGATGTCCTGGTGAACTTGGAGGTCTATATTCGTACTGCTTTTGCTGCGAAGACCTCCGTTGTTGCCGTTTTTTGACCTGGAAAAGGCTTACGACACCACTTGGCGTTATCATATCCTATCTCAACTTCATTCTTTTGGCCTTCGTGGTCATCTCCCTCTCTTTCTCCACAGCTTCCTCTCTCGTCGTTCCTTTCGGGTGCGCCTTGGTACCGCTCTCTCTCCCTCTTTTCAGCAATACGAAGGTGTGCCCCAGGGTAGTGTTCTGAGCACTACTCTTTTTCTGGTTGCCCTCAATGGTCTTCTTTCCTCTCTTCCTTCTGGTGTCTTCTCCGCTCTCTATGTCGATGATCTTACCCTTTGTTGTCAGGGTGATGATTCGCCTCTCCTTCAACGCCGGCTTCAACTTGCAATTGATGCCGTGTCGTCTTGGGCCACAGATCATGGCTTCAAGTTCTCTACTTCTAAGACTTGTGCCATGACTTTTACGCGGAAACGGGTTGTTCTTCGTCCCTCTTTGTCCCTTTGTGGTCATCCCCTTGAATACAAAGATTCCGCGAAGCTTTTGGGGTTATTCCTTGACACTCGTTTGTCTTGGTCTCCCCATATCTCTTACCTCCGTGTTGAGTGCTCTAAGGCCCTTACCCTCCTTCGGGTCTTGTCCCATACTTCTTGGGGGGCAGATAGGCGCACTCTCCTTGCTTTACATTCCTCTCTCGTCCTGTCTAAGCTCGATTATGGTTGCCCTGCTTACTCGTCTGCTTCTCCTTCTACTCTTCGCCGTCTTGATGCTTTGCACCATACTGGGTTGCGCCTCAGTTCTGGTGCCTTTCGTTCGACTCCCATCCTTAGCTTGTATGTTGACACTGGCTTCCTGTCTCTCCAGGACCGCCGTGATCGCTACTGTCTTCGCTATCTTGCGCGGTCCTTGCAACATCCTTCCCCTCGCCTCTGTCGTGCTTTAACTTTTACCCCTCCTGCGGTTCCTGTCCCTCTTCACCACCTCCCTCTTTCTGTCCGGTTATCTCGCCTGCAGGATTCTCTTTCCGTTCGTATTTCTGATGTTTCTCCTCGTGTTGTTCCTTCTTTGCCCCCGTGGAGGGTCCCTCTTCCGCGGTTTTGTACATCCTTGACCCGTATCACTAAAGCTTTTACCCCTCCTACGGTTCTAAAACGCCTTTTCCTCGAGCACTTTTCTTCTCACTCTCGCTCCGTTTCTGTCTTCACCGATGGGTCTAAGTCAGCGGACGGTGTTGGCTACTCTGTTGTTTTTCCTGATCGCACTTATATGTGTCGCTTGCCTCCGGAGACTAGCATCTTTACAGCGGAACTTTATGCTATTCTCTATGCTCTTTGTCTCCTGCTTTCTCGTTGTCAGTCTTCCTTTGTAGTTGTTGTTGACTCTCGTAGTGCCCTCATGGCTATCGGGTCCTTTAATCCGGTTCATCCAGTAGTTGTCGAGATCCAGCATTGGCTGTTTCTCGTTCACAGTAAATTTAAGTCGGTTGAGTTTTGTTGGGTTCCCAGCCATATTGGTGTGTCTTTAAATGAACGTGCAGATGCTGCCGCCAAGGAAGCTGTCCGCTCTTGTCCCATCTCTCGTAAAGGCATTCCGTATTCCGACTTTTACCCGGTTATCCATTCCTCAGTCCTTACCCGTTGGCAGGCTTCTTGGTTGTCTGTTACTGATAACAAGCTACGTACTCTTAAATGTTATGTTTCCTCGTGGCAGTCCTCCTTCCACCGTAACCGGCGGTGGGAAACAGCTCTGGCGAGGTTGCGTATTGGCCATACTCGCTTAACCCATGGTCACTTGATGGAGCGCCGCCCTGCTCCTTATTGTCCTAGTTGCATTGTCCCTCTTACGGTCGTGCATGTCCTTGTTGAATGTCCTGACTTCCAGGACGAGCGTGTGTCTTGCTTTCCGACCGCCCCTCGCGGTCACCTGTCCCTCGATAGATTTCTTGGTGACTCGGATACTTTTGATATCGTTCGCCTTATGCGTTTTTGTTCTCGTATTGGCATCCTTGGTGATATTTAGCGCCCTCTGATTATTTTGCGTATTTGATGGTGCTACATAGCCTTCCCGGTTTGGTGCCTTCTTTTGATAATTACTTACTTGAGCCTCTGTGGCCAAGGCTACAGGAAGCTAAAGCAACTGCCCACGGGATGGAGCCCATAACTCGCCCCACATATGGACAAGTAAGACAAAAGAAAGTTGAAGATCATACAAATGCCAGGATAAAACACAAATCCTCCAGAAATGCAACCCATAAGGTAGAAGCCTTGTAGATGCAAAATAAATGAGGATTTGAGAGGAAAGTGAAGTCCTGTGCCTACAGGAGGACCCAAAAACGATCGAACGAGCCAAAAGAGATGGTAGGAGGGAAAAAGTAGTTTTCATGAAACATAATGCAACCTAGGACACAAATAGTACATGGAAGTACACCCAGAGAAGAACAGCCAAGGAGTCAAACTTAAACATCAAAGGAGGATATCCCATATATAAGCCCCCTTATATAAACAATATAAGCCCCCCTTATATAAATAATATAAGCCTCCCTAATATAAAAAGAAAAAAAACTAATAATAATAATGCAGAGAGAACCAGAGACCAGAAGTAGTTGAAGGGCACTCTATACTAATCTGAAGGAGGGGAGTAAAGGTGTGAATATGACATGCAGGCCAGATTGTAGGCGGACTTATCTTAAAGCTCGGTTGGGTACCGGCTTTACAAGGAGGGCTTCCAGTCCTCCTTGTGAATTCAGTAGTTATGAGTTGATAGGCTTTTGTTCTACTGTGGCTGAATGGGTTAAAGGCTGGTGTCTTAGACTCACCAAAACGCTGGTTCAAGACACCTCATTGCCCCCAAATAATTTTCTCTTCGATTTTCACTGCACTGTGATTTCTTTGTGATGCCATACCATGTTAATAATGAACTATATTAAATAGCTATATATAATATATTCATTTTGAAACATACATATTTTAGTTTTAAGTTTATTTAGGTATCTATTTTAGTATTAATATTAAGTATTTTAGTTTAGTTTAGTAAGTTAAGTATCTATTTTAGTTTAACGCCATCTTGAGTTCCCTGTTGGGTTATTTGTGGACCTGCGTAAGGCTTTTGACACTGTCAACCACCAAAACCTTCTTCTTAAATTACATCATTATGGGGTCAGAGGACACTCCCTGCAATTCCTCAAATCTTACCTTACTAACAGGCTCCAGTATGTTTCTGTGAATAATTCAATTTCTCCCACCCTACCCATCAACATCGGTGTTCCTCAGGGCAGTATACTTGGCCCTCTCCTCTTTCTCATCTACATTAATGACCTTCCAAATGCCTCCCAACACCTCAAACCAATTCTATTTTCTGACGACACAACCTTCATTTACTCCAGTCCTGACCCCCTTGCTCTAAATGCCACAGTAAATACTGAGCTAAATAAAGTCCATCTTTGGCTAACGGCCAACAAACTCACCCTTAATATTGACAAAACTTTCTATATTCTGTTTGGCAATAAATCTTCTAATGAAATAAATCTCAGAATAAACAATACCCAAATTTGTAACAAATTAGATGGCAAATTCCTTGGCGTTCTCATTGACTTCAAGCTGAATTTCCAGGGACACATTCTAAATATATCAAAAAAAGTTTCAAAAACTGTTGGCATTCTTTCTAAGATCAGATATTATGTCCCCCGCCATGCTCTGGTGACGCTCTATTACTCCCTCATCTATCCATATCTCAACTATGGTATTTGTGCTTGGGGTTCTACTACCCAAAATCATTTACATCCTCTAATTACTCAACACAAAGCTGCTATTAGGACAATATCCAACTCTGGCCCCAGACATCACTCGGTACCCTTACTCAAATCTCGGAATATGTTAGATATTAAGTCACTGCACATTCTCTCATGTGTATTATACATATATAAAATGCTGAACTGTAATGCCAATCCTGTCCTCAAAAGCTTCATTGAAGGTTGTAACAGATCCCATGAGCACCACACCAGAATAAATTCAGTTTTGATATTCCAAGAGTACGACTTAATCAAACTAGAAATGCTCTACAAATCAAGGGACCCAGAATGTGGAATGACCTTCCCAACCATGTTAAAGACTGTACCTCTCTCAACCAGTTTAAGATAAAAACGAAGCACTACCTAATAAATTCCCTGTAACCTACCTTACCCCCCTATTGTCAACCCATGTCTGTTTTCTTAAACAACGCTGTTTGTCGACCTAATTGTATTTGTGCTGCGTTTTCAGCCATGTTTCCCCCTTTTTTTTATCTTTATTTTTTTCTTCTCGACACATTTTATTCTTTATACTCAATTAGTATTAAGTTTTAGTCATTAATGTTTTTCCTGCCCGAAACGCTTTGCGTAATAGAGGCTTTAGGCATTGTATGTACTAGATCCATCCATAAATCGAACAAATTATGTAAAATCTCTTGTATGTATGTACCTTACCTGAATAAACATTTTTTTTTTTAAGTTTGCCCATTTCTTTATATCATTGTCATTAGCCTTTCATCTAACTTCAATCAGTTCTTTCAGAATGAAAGTAATATTTAATATAGAACACAAAAAAGTGATATATCGACGAGAAAATCAGTTGGGGCAGAGATTTAACACAGTAAGGTGCACAGCTTGGCGTACCCAGGTGAGGGTTCGATTCCCCACATTGCTTCACTTGATTTTCTAATTTAATGTAGTGTCATAATTCCAGATGTCTTTTCAACAAATGAATGTGATGCTAACACAAATGGCGATCTCACAAGCACGACACGAAGACTTCATGAAGATAATGATGATGATGATGATGCAGAACAATGGTATGATGCAGGGCCCTTGGATGTCGCAGGGTCTTCCGAAGTCGCAGGGCTTTCCTATGTTGCAAACCCTTCCTGCATTGACGGGAGGTTATTCTTTCATGGATAATTTGAGTTCAACATCAAAGCAATCCAGTACACAAAATCGTGGGGTAAGTATCCGAGAGCTCTCAGATTAATTCTGAAACAAATCTATCTATATTTATAAAACAGAATGTATATCTCTGTCAGTCTCTGTCATTTCTGAGGATGAAGGCCAGATTGTTTTGGATAGACTCATGCAATTTTCCATGGTGGAGTGTGATTGTGTGAGAAGTGTCACGAGGGACTCAATCCTCATGCTTCTCATTAGGTAGGATTGTCTCCTATTGTGACAACCACAACTAATGTGAATTCTGAAATGTGGGCTTGATTCTCCATAGAGTGGTTTTAACAAATGTTTCAGTTATTCATCACACAACCTAACAACAACATTCATTATTAAAGTAACACTATTAAAAATAACATTGCAGTTAAGTTTTGCATTTGCTGGGTGTGTATAGTGAGTATTGTGAAAGGGGACAGGACGGAGGGAGGTAGAGAGAATGAAAAGGAGAGAAAACAGGAGGGAGAAAGAGAGATAGTGAGAGAGAGAGTTAGTGAGAGTGAGAGAGAGAGAGAGAGAGAGAGAGAGAGAGAGAGAGAGAGAGAGAGAGAGAGAGAGAGAGAGAGAGAGAGAGAGAGAGAGAGAGAGAGAGAGAGAGAGAGAGAGAGAGAGAGAGAGAGAGAGAGAGAGAGAGAGAGAGAGAGAGAGAGAGAGAGAGAGAGAGAGACTGACCGACCACTGTGTACCGCAGCCCACCCCAAGCAACAGCCTGTTGGACCAAGCTCTCTAAGTCAACTCTTCCCCTGGGCCGGGCTTTGGGAGTAAAAAAAATAACTCCCAGAACCCCCTCCAGGCACAATCCAGATACCCTACCTAGTAGGTTTGAGATGTTGCCTATTGGGGATGGCACTAATACAAGTGACCTCAGTCAAAAAGGACTGCAATAACAACACAATAAATGCTGTGAGAGCAACCCTTTGATCCACTAGGTCGTGGAGCTCCTATATCTCCTGACGGCAGGTGTAAGGGTAGCTCTGGCAAGGTTGGGAACTGTGAATGAAGAAATTGGAAGCTCAAGACTTTGAAGACAACATACACGGGAAATACTCACCTATTGTGCTGGCAAGAGGGTGAGGTAACTGGTACGCTTTCTGCTTAAGGAAGTCTTGCAATGGCTGACACAGGAAGAGTAACTAGGTCAAGGAGCAGCATGGAGGAATTTACACTGGGAGGAGTAGATAGGATTATAGAGAGAGCTTTGGGAGGAATGGGAAGAAAGGGGTAAACTTTGGATTGAGGAGATCATATTAGAACAGAAAAAGTACTTGGCTACAAAATGGGAATGTGAAATGGACAAACAGAAGCAGTGGATAGAGGGATATTTTTAAGCAGAATATAGGAAGATGGAAACAACATTGGGGGCAGTAATGCATAGATAGGAGGGAAGAGTAACTAACTTAGAATCAGTCATACCCAGGGGGAAAGGGGAAGGAGTAGAGAGACATAGTCCAGGACACCGGGGCAACAGAGGTAGGGTCAACCACCACTGGAGTAGTGAGCAAGCTGGGGAGGGATGGGGAGGCTAGACTGCAACAACTAGAGAACAAATTGGAAAGAATACAAAGCACCTCTCTAATATGTGAAAATGAAGGGACAATATGGTAATTAAAACGACAAAGAGACAGCAGGGGGCACAATACATCAAGGGATGCAGGCGATGAGTCACAATAACGTGGTTAAAGTATGTTGACCAGACCACACACTAGAAGGTGAAGGGACGACGACGTTTCGGTCCGTCCTGGACCATTCTCAAGTCGATTGTCTTGAGAATGGTCCAGGACGGACCGAAACGTCGTCATCCCTTCACCTTCTAGTGTGTGGTCTGGTCTACATCAAGGAACATTGAAGTAGAGTGATAAGAGATGATGACAAGGAACTACAGAAGAAAAGAACAATAGTAATACATGGACTCATCGAGGAACGCCATGCCTTCACAACTCTAGAGGATACAATATGATAGACTAGAGCTGGGGGAGATCATGAGATGTTTCCATGCTGACCGAGCAGGAGGTTGTGATATCACTGCATTAGGACAAGTACTCCGAATACTACGAATCGACCTGTTTAGGTAGGATTTACGAACGTACATGCAGTTGAGTATATATTGGAACACAGACATTTACTAAGGAGGTCAGGGAATTTCTATAATGTTTACATAAAACGATTCATGACAAATCAGGAGCAGCAGGAACATAAATCACAGAGATTTCATGACAGCAGAGTCAGAACATCTAGGCAGTAACTGGCAAGACCTTGACCACTTCCACACACCCCCTCCCTCCCCCAACCACACCCTTGCATGTCCCCCAACCCTCCAGTACCTGAGAATGACCGGACCTATAACCTCCTTTCCCTCTGCTACACCCAATTCAATGCTCAATTCTGTGAGCCTCTAAGTTTTTAATCAGTCTTTTATGTGGCTCTGTATCAAAAGCTTTGCTAAAGTCAAGGTACACAGCATCACAACCCTTGCCACTATCAACTGCCTCAACTATGCTGGAATAAAATGATAGCAAGTTTGTTAAACATGTACGACCATTTGTAAATCCATGTTGTGAATCATTTATAAATTTATATATTTCAAGATGATGTCGAATGGTATTTTCAATTATCGATTCAAGTAATTTTCCCACAATAGACATTAGGCTAATTGGCCGATAGTTTGACGCAAGTGATCTATCTCCTTTCTTGAAAATTGGTACCACATTAGCAACCTTCCACGACTCTGGCACTCTGTCTGACTCTTATTAAATATGGTAGACAATGGATTGTAAAGTTTCGCTTTGCATTCTTTAAGCACCCTGGCAAACACTTCGTCCGGCCCTGGGGATTTGTTTGACTTGAGTTTCACTATTTGTTCAATAACATCCTCCCTGGTAACTGTAAAATTAGTGAACCTGTCCTCGTCCCCACCCACATAGACTTGTTCAGCTGAAGGTATAAAGTTACGTTCCTCTTTAGTAAATACAGAGATTAAATATTTATTAAAAATACTACTCATCACTTCGTCATTATCAGTTATCTGGCCTGTCTCAGTTTTTAATGGAACTATCTTTTCCCTAATCTTTGTTCGATATAACTGAAAAAAAACCTTTGGGATTTATCTTTGCTTGACCTGCTGTACGAACTTCATAGTTTCTTTCTGCCCTCCTTATCTCCTTTTAAACATTTCTAACCAGTTGTGCGAATTCTTGTTCTAAACTGACTTCCCCATTCTTAATCCTTTTGTACCAAGCTCTCTTTCTACCTATAAGATTCTTCAGATCCTTTGTTATCTATTTTGGGTCATTTTATTAGATCTATTCAATTTGTAAGGTATACTACTTTCCTGTGCTTTGCTTAGAATATTTTTAAATAAGTTATATTTTGAATCCACATCGAAATCCCCTTTTTCGTCACCCATCGCTGAGTTCACGTCTTGCTCCAAGACCGGCCCACCCTCAATGCCCAAGACTTTCCAATCTATTTCACCCAAAAAAATTCTTAAGCCATTAAAATCAGCTTTTCGAAGATCTGGCACATTAAAAAAAATTTCTCCTACAAATCTATTCCATTCTATGCTAAATCTTCTGAACCAGCCGATACATAAACCTCATCTTGCAGTTTTCAAGTCTCAATATATTAATCAGAACACGAGAATGAGAGGAGGGAATGCTCCACCATTGCGACCATGTCCTTTGGGAAATCAAATGTCAGTGCATTATAATCTAGAAGGGACTGGAGAAATGGATGGAAATTGTGGAAAACCTGATGGCAAGAGAGGAGAATATGGGGTATTCGGCAAGTTCTTGAATGAATTTGATTGGAAAGATTTATTGTTTGGTAAAGAAATAAATGAGATGTAAGCCACATTTTGTGAGATACATGATAGCCAGGTAGAAACACGGTTGGGCCAGATGAAGTTTCACCTTGGGTCCTGAGAGAATGTGCATCTGAGCTCAGCACTCAACTTCAATTATTTTTTTCCAATCATTTATATGTACATGATTCTTGGCTGATATACAGAAAAAGGCAAGCATAGTTCCAATCTACAAAAATTGTAGCAGTAAAAACCCTCTTTATTATAGACCTGAATCATCAACAACCGAGGTTTCTAAAACACTGAAAAAATAACTAAAACTCATTAAGTAGAACGCCTGGAGATTAGTTGTTTAACAACAGACATTATGGTTGTCGATCAAGAAAATTCTGTGTAACAAATTTACTTAGTTTCGATGACAGCCACAAAAATTAGAGTTGGTTGGGGTGACTATTTATCTGCACCTTAAAAAAAGGCCTTTTGATAGTTGCACACAAGAGGTTGTTCAGGAAACTTGGAACATGCTGGAGGGGTGACAGGAAGACTTCTGACGTGGATGAATAATGCTCAAACCTCCAGGAAAATGAGGGTAGTAATCAGAGACAATGTATCTGACTGGAGGAGTGTTACAAGCGGAGTACCACAGGGTTCATTTCTTGCACTGGTAATTTTCATCGTCTATATAAACGATCTACCAGAAGGTATACAGAATTATATGAACATGTTTGCTGATGATGCTAAGATAATAGGACACCTGCACCAAGGTAGTTAATTGTTAACTAATGATCAGGCAAGATTGAGATCAACACTGACTTCATTTTCGGGTTGCAGTGCTAACCATGCCACGCACATGTCTTTGTTTACAAACACGTCGTTTACAAACATGTCGTTTAGGTCCTGGTTCAACCTTGACGACGAGCGGACGTCTGGACACCTCCTCCACCTGGGAGCTGCCGGATCACGTCCTGTTTTCGCGTTTTGGCTTTGCTACTGCCGTCTGGCATTCCTATTCAACGGTCCGGTTGTACGACGCCTGGCGCACATATCGCCTTGGGTCACGGGATGGTTGATAGATTTTTTTTTTTACGTGTTCTGGCTGGTTCTCCCGGCGGGGTGACGGTGTTCGGGGGCCGGTTTGGCCGAGAGGTGCCGGGGGTTGGTAGGTTTTGGTGAGCTCCTGGTGTGCCCTCAGTCGTGGTGGGCGGCCGGCTTCTGCTCTGCCAGAGGACACTGGATGACTTTAGCGTTTTAGTTGGGGGCCGAGTTTTTGGTTTTGCTTCCCAGTGTTCTCTGTGTGGGGCGGGGCGTCATTTGGTGCTTGTTTCACCCTGGGCTGCGAATTAACCCTTAATGGGTACTCTTGGGGACTCCCCAATCATCTCTCTATCTGTGTTTCTTTGCGGCGAGGCATATTAGTCATTCTAGTGATTGGCGTCATTTGTTTCGAAGCTAAATCAACACACAATTTTAAATGATTTGGCTTGGCGTTTCACCTTTCTGGGCTTCGCGAATTAACCCTTAACGGGTACGCCGGGCGCATCCGATTCTACGATCGTTGTCGTCCCTAAATCAACAAAAACAACATGTCGTTTACAAACATCTCTGTGGTTACAAATACAGGTGTTGACTGGCAGAAAAACTGTTGTCTCTCTCTCAGCCCTCCCCCCCTCACTAACAGGTCTCCAGAAATGAATTAATTTACCGTTAATAAGCAGCATTTACTTAGCAATACATAACACAGCAATAAATACTATACTAGTGTACAGTGTTTCCATTGGACAGTTTCAGCAACGTGGAGAGGGGGGGGGGGGGATCCTGCTGCATGGGTAACAGCTTCTCCTCCATATCACCCTACCCTGGCTTTGCGCCCTGGAGAGGCCACTCCAGCCTCGACAACCACAGCGCGACTCTATATTCTCCCAAGAGTACAGTATGCCTAGTACTAGTGTACAGTAATGGTAACCTGCACATTTGGCGGTACTTTGACGGAAACGAGACGAGTTAGTAGAAGGGAGCACCGCTGGAAACGTTAGTTACTGTGAATTGAATATCTTGCCTTAACAACATATATTCTGCCAAGTAAAGCTTTCACTGCTCAATTAATAACTACTACGTGAATATCTAACTTGGCATGACTTTCTAAATACTATATTTTTTATTAATAGATAAAATTAAATTCTAATAATTACTTTTTTTGTAAAAGAAGGCAAGGTACAATTTTTTTCATCAGTTTTTAAAATTCTCTCATAAGGCAGGACACTGGGTCTCTGAATCCCATTGTTCCATGGAACCCAGGTTGGAAATGGCCGGTCTAGAGGATCGAGCCGGTGCTAGATTTGTTAGGGGTTCAGTATATGAGGAAGCCAGTTGTAACTGTAACCAATGGAGCCATCCTCAACCCATACATGTTGGGTCCCTACCCCACAGCAATCACCGTGCAAATTTTTGTGATTGTAGCCTCAAACATCTGGCCTCCTACTTCAGACCGACAAAAAGACATTCTATTTAATAGTAAAAAATATTGTTGACAAACCTGGTATTAAGGACCTTTCCTATGATAACACCAAAGTGCCTCAATCAGCATTCACCAGAGACACAGAACAAGAGGGTTTTGACTGAGGTTTTTAAGTAGGTTTGAGTCACAAGCAAAGAGGATACACATACATGGTTCTTAATCTGTCCGATCAGGTCTAAACCCACAACAATGCATACAAGCTGTAGAAATTTTGCTTTAGGAGGAATACAGGTTTTGAATGACTGGAATAGGCTATCATTATTAAGACAACTTAACAGGTTGAATCAACAACTTAACAGGCTGAAACAGGTCAGGATCAGATCCCTGATTAGACACAGAGACAGAACGGAGAGACGACCCACTGTGGCTCGGTGATTAGTTGAATATTTCCTCCCTGTCCTCATCCGCCTCACAGGACTCTCTCGACGCCTCACCGAGCCACAGTGGGTCGTCTCTCCGTTCTGTCTCTGTATCTGATCAGGGCCTATCCAATCTATTCTCAAGAATAGATTGGATAGGCAGACGGGTGTGAGGGTGTGGCTTTACACAGGATGGGTGAGCGGGTGTGGCTTTACACAGGACCCGAAGTGTATGGCCCATCTGTAGTGCTGCTGCTGTACAGTATAGTATAGTTACTCATTCTTATATTATTATTTCCAAGGTAATATGATCCTGTATTTTGTATTTTTTTAATAAAATATTATTTTATTAACTCGATTACTTTCTTTCAAGTGTTTGTTATTGTTGCAGAGGACCGGGTGCACGGAGTGTAAGGAGTGCTGCAAGGAGTATGACTCTGGCCACCGGCGCCCGCTGATGCTACCCAAGTGTGGACACACATTTTGCAAGTCGTGCCTGAGTAACTATCATCACTCTTGTATAATTGCTCTATTGGTTAAGGCTAAATCAACACTCTTTGTTTACAGTTTACGAGCAGTGAAAGAAGACTTTTGTTACGGGATTAAGTATGGCATTGCAGTTAACTGCTTCATCCAAACCTTTGGTCATTTCATATGGCTATCCAGACTGTCTTGAAACGAGCGTATGTTCACTGCTGATCTTAGGTCCTGGGATATCCTTGTATTGTCTGCAAAGTTGCAAATGTTGCTGCTCAATCTCTAATCCAAATGGTTCATATGCAGGTCTTATAACAGACGACCCCAGGATAGAGCCCTGAGGTCCTTCAAACAATGTTCTTCTCCTCAAACTCAACTGCATTTATGCAGATAAATTTTCATTTATCTCCCTGAAATAACTAAGTCAAATAGGCTTGGTAAATTTATTATCTGAAGCTCTCGCTGTCAACATTCCTTTGTTGTTGTAGCTGACTCTCGCAGTGCATTCATGGATCTGGAGTCCTTTAATCCAGTTCATCCGGTGGTAGTTGAAATTCAACATTGGTTGTTTCTTATCTCCCGTAGATTTAAGACTGTGGAGTTTTGTTAGGTTCCCAGCCACATTGGTGTGTCCTTATATGAGTGTGCGGACGCTGCCGCTAAAGCGGCTATCCGGACTTGTTCCATCTCCTGCAAAGGTGTTCCTTATTCCGACTTCTACCCAGTTATTCATTCCTCCATTCTTGCCTGTTGGCAGGGTCGTTGGTCTTCTGTTACTGGTAACAAACTGCGTGTTTTTAAGAGTAGTGTGTCCCCGTTGCCTTCCTCCTACCACCGTAACCGGCGGTGGAAAACGGCTCTGGCAATGTTAAGTATTGGCCATACACGCTTTGCTCATGGGCACTTAATTGAGTGCTTCCTTGCTCCTTATTGTCCAAACTGCATTGTTCTTCTTGCAGTCGTGCATATCCTTATTGAATGTCTTGACTTCCAGGATGTGCAAGTGTCTTGCTTCCTGACCGTCTCTCGTGGTCACTTGTCCCTTGATAAAATCCTTAGTGAATCAGATGCGTTTAATATTTCTCACCTTACGCAACTGTTGTTCTCATATTGGCATTCTTAGTGATATTTAGTGCCTTTTGAATATCCCGCACCTTTGATGGTGCTACATAGTCTCCCTGACTTGATGCCTTCTTTTGATAATTACTTAATTCCTGTCCTCGTCTAGGCCACAAGAGTGTTAGTGGCACACAAGTAAATTCAGGAAAGTGCTTCCTCACACTATGAAATACAAACTTCATGACCAAAATATAAATAATCCAACGCGCACATATGAAATGAAAAGAAAGTCACGACATTTCAATCCTTCCTTGACTATTTTAAGTTGTGATTTTCCCTTCATAGAACTAATGTTTATTTTCTCAACAGGGCAGATTAACAACAGAGGTCGTCTGCGATGTCCAAAGTGCGGCTCTGAACCTAAAGTGGATGTAAACGACTTGCCAACAAACATGTCCATTCTGGATATGGTGATCTAGGTAAGGGAACTTAAGTATTCATTATCAGGTAAACAAGTGAGATTCACACATAGGCCTACATTTTTTACAGGCGAGGAGAGGAAAATATTATTTCACGAAATTCTAGGAGGTTTAAGATAGGCTGACGAACACAAAGCCATAATACGTGGCGGATAAGTAGAATATTGCGACAGTAAGTCGTAATTTCAACGGGGGGTTGAAAATATAACATCCAAGCTGCACATTTTAAAACAAAGGTAATAACAACGCTTCGGTCCACCTTGGATACGACAGTGGTCAAGGATGGACAGAAACGTTGGCTCTTTATTTTCAAATGTGCGTCGGATGGGAGTCAAACTTAATATCCTTTGATACTGAGCAACTCACCGACTGGAAAGCAGGCTGGGATGTCTCTGTGGCCCCATTGATGGTGGCAAGATGATATTATTAATTATAATAATAATTGATTACGTTTATTACAGGTCTTGAATGCAAAATTACATGTTTTATTAGCGTCATCCGGGTAGCTTTCCCTCTTACCCTCTCCCCCCTTGATCCCCTCTCTCCCTCCTCTTCCCCCTTTCATCCATTACCTCCCACTCATCACAACATGCCATTTTAGGAACAGCTGGAAAACTGTGAAAAACTCTCTGGAAAATAAGACCACAATTTCAGACTTTATTGGCGTTTGTGAAAGTTGTAATAGGAGCCGATAATTCTTGAAGGCGGCATTGTCTGTCAGTCCTAGGATAAAGGTCAGATAACTGAGGTATAGCCTTACCAAACGTTGCAGGGTGACTGGTGGTTGTTGGTGGTGGTCTCCCCGCCAAAGATACCTATTCCAACCTCAATGAAAACCACACTCCATCCTTAGTATGATTCATCCAGGATATTCTTCTCAACCTTATAATTTAGTGTTTGGAGCCCCCAGAATCTATGTGCTGCCTAGATGGAGTATCTTATCTATCACAATCATAACACTATCATCACTCTACGCTACCCGGTAGTGTTCAGGTAGTGTAGATAGTGATGGGGAGGAAGACTGTGCAAGGAGGAGGACAATGTGTAGTGAAAGTGGTTACCATGATGGAGTTTGTGTGTAGTGAAGGTGATAACAGGAGTTGAAGATAGGTTATAGGGGGTTACAGGATAATGGTTGTAGAAAGGTGTAGATAGTTACAATGGAGGAAGATAGGGTGTAATAAAAATATTTGCAATGATGAAGACATAATGTAGTGTACGTGATTGTAGTGATAAAGATAGTGAGTGGTTAAGATGGTTAGAGTAAGGATGGCACTTGTGTAGTGTAGGTGTGGTTGCCATCACCTGAGCGAAGCCAGATATCAAAGCTAGTACTTTATAAAGCACTGATCACAGAAGCACACTGTGACTTTCGCTGAGATAAAATGGAATCTAATGTAGGGAGTGACCCCCGGTCAAAAGCAAAGTATATAAAGTTAGGGAATGGTGAAGTGAAAGTTTCTAACTAGTTGTTCAGTTATTGGACCAGACCACACACTAGAAGGTGAAGGGACGACGACGTTTCGAACCGTCCTGGATTCTCAAGTCGATTGTTCAGTTATTTCTTGACATATTTTGGGAACCAACACGATAACATAGTGTTTTAGACTTAGTGTTATCTAAAATGTGACACAGTTGAGTAACTGCAAACTTGGGAGTGAGCTTAGCAACAGTTAGAATTGGGAAATCATATTTAACACAGTATGCAAAAGCTGTGAGAGAAATGACTTAAAATGCCAGTTTTAGTAGAAGCTGATCTATAGGGTTTAGGATGCTGCATGGGATGGATAGATTTTGGTGGCATTAAAGATGGGTGTAGGACTATCCTTAGTACGGGACGACGTGAAACCAATTGTGGGTGACGTAACACTTGTTAATGATGAAGCTTCACAATGTAACTGATTTAAATACAAACCTAGAAAGCCCAGGAAGGTGGGTTTACATATATATTAATATAACCAAATGCATTATGATGGGGCTAAAGAATCTGATAACAAAGACGATATACAGACGAATTTAGATTAGGGAAGCAAATCTAGAACGGAAATTTGTCTATTAAAAAAGTATAACTGATGAAAATTATGAAGTATGTATGTATGGGAAGGCAAAGCAAAATCCTGAAGTTTTCTTGAAATATATGAATCAAAGATGGGAAAAAACTGGGTGATTGTAAACTGAGAAAAGTCAGGTAACGTCTAATGATGAGTAACTTGGTGGTATTATAAATAAGTACTTTGTCCCTACATTCACTTGCGAAGCACTTGACTTGTAGCAAGAGAACGGTATAACGGTAGAACAAGGGTACCAGTAGAGAGGTTCTGACTCAGTGATTGCAGGACTGTCAGGAGATCATTGCAGCTCAGACCTTTTGTGGGTGTTAATAGTAGTGACCAGGAGGGTAGTAATGACCAGGAGGGTAGTAATGACCAGGAGGGTAGTAATGACCAGGAGGGTAGTAATGACCAGGAGGGTAGTAATGACCAGGAGGGTAGTAATGACCAGGAGGGTAGTAATGACCAGGAGGTAGTAATGACCAGGAGGGTAGTAATGACCAGGAGGGTAGTAATGACCAGGAGGGTAGTAATGACCAGGGGTAGTAATGACCAGTAGTAATGACCAGGAGGGTAGTAATGACCAGGAGGGTAGTAATGACCAGGAGGGTAGTAATGACCAGGAGGGTAGTAATGACCAGGAGGGTAGTAATGACCAGGAGGGTAGTAATGACCAGGAGGGTAGTAATGACCAGGAGGGTAGTAATGACCAGGAGGGTAGTAATGACCAGGAGGGTAGTAATGACCAGGAGGGTAGTAATGACCAGGAGGGACCAGGAGGGTAGTAATGACCAGGAGGGTAGTAATGACCAGGAGGGTAGTAATGACCAAGAGGGTAGTAATGACCAGGAGGGTAGTAATGACCAGGAGGGTAGTAATGACCAGGAGGGTAAATGACCAGGAGGGTAGTAATGACCAGGAGGGTAGTAATGACCAGGAGGGTAGTAATGACCAGGAGGGTAGTAATGACCAGGAGGGTAGTAATGACCAGGAGGGTAGTAATGACCAGGAGGGTAGTAATGACCAGGAGGGTAGTAATGACCAGGAGGGTAGTAATGACCAGGAGGGTAGTAATGACCAGGAGGGTAGTAATGACCAGGAGGGTAGTAATGACCAGGAGGGTAGTAATGACCAGGAGGGTAGTAATGACCAGGAGGGTAGTAATGACCAGGAGGGTAGTAATGACCAGGAGGGTAGTAATGACCAGGAGGGTAGTTATGACCAGGAGGGTAGTAGTAATGACCAGGAGGGTAGTAATGACCAGGAGGGTAGTAATGACCAGGAGGGTAGTATGACCTGGAGGTAGTAATGACCAGGAGGGTAGTAATGACCAGGAGGGTAGTAATGACCAGGAGGGTAGTAATGACCAGGAGGGGTAATGACCAGGAGGGTAGTAATGACCAGGAGGGTAGTAATGACCAGGAGGGTAGTAATGACCAGGAGGGTAGTAATGACCAGGAGGGTAGTAATGACCTGGAGGGTAATGACCAGGAGGGTAGTAGTAATGACCAGGAGGGTAGTAATGACCAGGAGGGTAGTAACCAGGAGGGTAGACCAGGAGGGTAGTAATGACCAGGAGGGTAGTAATGACCAGGAGGGTAGTAATGACCAGGAGGGTAGTAATGACCAGGAGGGTAGTAATGACCAGGAGGGTAGTAATGACCAGGAGGGTAGTAATGACCAGGAGGGTAGTAATGACCAGGAGGGTAGTAATGACCAGGAGGGTAGTAATGACCAGGAGGGTAGTAATGACCAGGAGGGTAGTAAATACCAGGAGGGTAGTAATGACCAGGAGGGTAGTAATGACCAGGAGGGTAGTAATGACCAGGAGGGTAGTAATGACCAGGAGGGTAGTAATGACCAGGAGGGTAGTAATGACCAGGAGGGTAAATGACCAGGAGGGTAGTAATGACCAGGAGGGTAGACCAGGAGGGTAATGACCAGGAGGGTAGTAATGACCAGGAGGGTAGTAATGACCAGGAGGGTAGTAATGACCAGGAGGGTAGTAATGACCAGGAGGGTAGTAATGACCAGGAGGGTAGTAATGACCAGGAGGGTAGTAATGACCAGAGGGTAGACCAGGAGGGTAGTAGTATGACCAGGAGTAGTAATGACCAGGAGGGTAGTAATGACCAGGAGGGTAGTAATGACCAGGAGGGTAGTAATGACCAGGAGGGTAGTAATGACCAGGAGGGTAGTAATGACCAGGAGGGTAGTAATGACCAGGAGGGTAGTAATGACCAGGAGGGTAGTAATGACCTGGAGGGTAATAATGACCAGGTGGGTAGTAATGACCAGGAGGGTAGTAATGACCAGGAGGGTAGTAATGTAATAATGACCAGGAGGGTAGTAATGACCAGGAGGGTAGTAATGACCAGGAGGGTAGTAATGACCAGGAGGGTAGTAATGACCAGGAGGGTAGTAATGACCAGGAGGGTAGTAATGACCAGGAGGGTAGTAATGACCAGGAGGGTAGTAATGACCAGGAGGACCAGGAGGGTAGTAATGACCAGGAGGGTAGTAATGACCAGGAGGGTAGTAATGACCAGGAGGGTAGGACCAGGAGGGTAGTAATGACCAGGAGGGTAGTAATGACCAGGAGGGTAGTAATGACCAGGAGGGTAGTAATGACCAGGAGGGTAGTAATGACCAGGAGGGTAGTATGACCAGGAGGGTAGTAACCAGGAGGGTAGTAATGACCAGGAGGGTAGTAATGACCAGGAGGGTAGTAATGACCAGGAGGGTAGTAATGACCAGGAGTAATGACCAGGAGGGTAGTAATGACCAGGAGGGTAGTAAATGACCAGGAGGGTAGTAATGACCCAGGAGGGTAGTAATGACCAGGAGGGTAGTAGTAATGACCAGGAGGGTAGTAATGACCAGGACCAGGAGGGTAGTAATGACCAGGAGGGTAGTAATGACCAGGAGGGTAGTAATGACCAGGAGGGTAGTAATGACCAGGAGGGTAGTAATGACCAGGAGGGTAG